GCTCCCCGAGGTATTTGTGGGTCCCCCCCCCCCGTTGTCGTTCTCGGGCCCTTCCGGGCGGGGCCTGGGGGGGCGGAGCGAGAGCCGTGCGGTCTAGGCAGGTGTGAAGCAGTAGTCCCTGCCATGGCGAACTAGCCATGCGCCACTGGCCTGTGGCTATGGGCTGGACACGGCTGTGCGTGCACCCGGCACTGCTGCTCCCTGCTTCTCTTGCTCACACACCTCTACTGGCTATATACACTGCCAGGCACAGGCTCCTCAGCCCCAGGCTTTTCATGGAGATGTGCACCCAGGCAGGTTTTTCCAATTTCCACGATGATCAGGGGACACTCCCCACAGATTGATCTCCTGCATCCAGACCTTTTAGAGCCATGTCTTTAGGACCACCCTATTTCACAAGCAGGTGGTGAACAAAGTTCTGCTGTAGCATATAATTGATCAGTTCTGACCGATCCCTCAACCAGCACCCATCCTGCCTTTTGAGCATGCTAGGGAGCAGATGCTGATTGAATGTGGGCAGATACGTGGGCCTTGTGCTGCAATGCTTTGTGCTGCCATGATGCCAGATCACTTGCTGGCTTGACGTGGAAAGGTGTCTGTCCTACTGTGGACGGTGGAATAAGGCAGGCCTCTCCAGAATCCTTTTCAGAAGGATTAAAGAGTTCCTCGATCACAGCTTTATGGAGATGTGCAGGGAGGAGTCTCGCTTTGTCTCCAGACACGTTAACAAACTTTTCTGGGGAACCTCTGCTGTGTAGGCAATGTGGGCACCACTGTACCCCTCAGATCATAGAACCATAGAACAGATATTGAAGCCTTCCAATACTTTGAAGGCCCCAACATGCAGAGAGTCCTTCAGCTGTGATCTGTGCCCAATGCTACAGAGGAAGGCGAAAAACCTCCAGGGCCTCTGCCAATCTACCCTGGAGGAAAATTCCTTCCTGACCCCAAATATGGCGATCAGCTAAACCCTGAGCATGTGGGCAAGACTCACCAGCCAGACACCCAGAAAGTTCCCTATAGCAACTCCTATCATCCCTCCATTGACCTATTTCCAACTGGAAATGAATGGTCAATTAGTTACCAAGATCATGTTATTTCATCCAACCATCCCCTTATCATAGAATCAGAACTGGAAGAGACCTCAGAAGGTCGTCAAGTCCAGCCCTCCGCTCTAGGCAGGACCAATCCCATCTAAATCAACCCGGCCAGGGCTTTGTCAAGCCGAGACTTAAACACCTCTAGGGATGGAGACTCCACTACTTCCCTAGGTAACCCATTCCAATGCTTCACTACCCTCCTAGTAAAATAGTTTTTCCTAATATCCAATCTGGACCTCTCCCACCACAACTTGAGACCATTGCTCCTTGTTCTGCCATCTGTCACTACTGAGAACAGCCTCTCTCCATCCTCTTTGGAACCTCCCTTCAGGAAGTTGAAGGCTGCTATCAAGTCCCCCCTCACTCTTCGCTTCTGCAGACTAAACAGACCCAAGTCCCTCAGCCTCTCCTCGTAGGTCATATGCTCCAGACCCCTAATCATTTTGGTTGCCCTCCGCTGGACCCTCTCCAATGCGTCCGCATCCTTTTTGTAGTGGGGGGCCCAGAACTGGACACAGTACTCCAGATGTGGCCTCACCAAAGCCGAATAAAGGGGAATAATGACATCTCTGGATCTGCTGGCAATGCTCCTCTTAATGCATCCTAATATGCCATTAGCCTTCTTGGCTACAAGGGCACACTGTTGACTCATATCTAGCTTCTCATCCACTGTAACCCCCAGGTCCTTTTCTGCAGAACTACTACTTAACTGGTTGGTCCCCAGCCTGTAACTATGCTTGGGATTCTTCCGTCCCAAGTGCAGGACTCTACACTTGTCTTTGTTGAATCTCATGAGATTTCTAGTGGCCCAATCCTCCAATTTGTCTAAGTCACTCTGGACCCTATCTCTGCCCTTAAGCGTATCTACCTCTCCCCCTAGCTTAGTGTCATCTGCAAACTTGCTGAGGGTGCAATCTATCCCCTCATCCAGGTCATTAATAAAGATATTGAACAAAACCGGTCCTAGAACCGAACCTTGGGGCACTCCACTAGAAACCGACCTCCATCCTGACATCGAACCGTTGATCACTACCCGCTGGGCCCGGCCTTCTAGCCATCTTTCTATCCATCTTACCGTCCATTTATCCAATCCGCATTCCCTTAACTTGCTGGCAAGAATATTGTGGGAGACCGTATCAAAAGCCTTGCTAAAGTCAAGGTATATAACATCCACTGACTTTCCCATGTCCACTGAGCCAGTTACCTCATCATAGAAGCTAATCAGATTGGTCAGGCACGACTTGCCCTTTGTGAATCCATGCTGACTATTCCTGATCACTTTCCTCTCATTCAAGTGTCTCAAAATGGATTCCTTTAGGATCCCTTCCATGATTTTTCCAGGAACCGAGGTAAGACTGACCGGCCTATAGTTCCCTGGATCGTCCTTCTTCCCTTTTTTGAAGATGGGCACTACATTTGCCTTTTTCCAATCATCCGGGATTTCTCCTGATCTCCACGACTTTTCAAAGATAATGGCCAAAGGCTCCTCAATTACATTTGCCAACTCCCTCAGTACCGTCGGATGCATGGATTTGTGTACGTTTAGCTTTTCTAAATAGTTCCTAACCTATTCTTTACCCACCAAGGGCTGTCCATCTTCATCCCATCTTGCGTCACTTAGCGCATTAGTCTGGGAGCTGACCTTGTCTGTGAAGACAGAGGCAAATAAAGCATTGAATACTTCAGCTTTCCCCACATTATCTGTCACTAGGGTACCTCCTTCATTCAGTAGGGGCCGCACACCCTCTTTGATCATATTCTTCTTGTTAACATGCCTGTAGAAACCTTTCTTGTTATCCTTCACATCCTTTGCCAGTCGCAATTCCATTTGCGATTTCGCCTTCCTGATAACCCCCCGGCATCTTCGAGCTATACATTTAAACCCCTCCCTGGTCATTTGTCCAAGTTTCCACTTTTTGTAAGCTTCCTTTTTGTGCTAAAGTTCACCAAGGATTTCCCCTGTAAGCCAATCCGGTCTCCTACCATGTTTCCCTCTCTTGCTACACGACAGGATGGTTTCTTTCTGTGCCTTCAATAAGGCTTCTTTAAAATACTGCCAGCTGTCCTGGGCGCCTAGTCCTGGGCTCCAGCTGTCCTAACTAGTGTTATTCCAACATAACAATGCAAGCATCTACACAGCAATTCCATTATTTTGACATTATTTCAAAATAACAGGTGGGTTATTCCAACTTCTAGAAACCTCATTCCACGAGGAATAACTCCTCTTCTAAAATAGGTATTTTGAAATAGCTGCAATGTGGACATTTCCATTGCTGCTATTTCAAAATAGCTACTCACCAGGGCCATTCTAAGTTATTCCTCCCCAGTGCCTCCTGGAGCTCTAAATTGAGATAGTGCATCCACATTAGGGCACCTGGCTCAGACTAATTTTAAGGCTTCCTGTAGTGTGGACACTCTTTTTTTAAATAAGCTATTTTGGAATATATCTTCCAGAATAGCTTATTCCAAAATAAACTTGCAGCGTAGACATACCCTGTAAGAGAAGAGAGAGAAAATGAAATGGGGCCCTTCTGAGCTTGGACACAAAGCCACTGGTGCCATGGTAAATCCACTGCTATCACTGTGTGCTTGCTTTCGGCCTATGTCAGCTCTGCAGGTCTGAGTGTGGAGTTGGAGAAGTTATGTGGTATTTGTAAATGACTTACGTCATGTTTTGTTCCTTGGCAGCTTTTCCTTCCCTCCATGAAGAAGAAGACAGCTCTGCTTGCCAGCAGCTCTCCAGATGGGGACATGCTCCAGGAACACTGGCTTGTAGATGACATGTTTTCCTTTGAGAATATTGGATTCACCAAGGATGTTGGGAATGTAAAGTTCCTCATATGTGCAGACTGTGAGATCGGGCCAATTGGCTGGCACTGCCTCGATGATAAGAAGAGCTTCTACATAGCCTTGGACCGTGTTTCTCATGAGTAGCATCCGGAGTAAAGCTCAGACTCTTTGCAAGGCCATCACAGCTTGTGTCCAGGATTCTTTGGTGCAATCATTCCATGGCTCGTAATGTACCAACATGAAGCCAGAGGCACTTGCTCATGGACTTGAACATCTCATGGATTCACCTTAACAGCTCATTTCAAGCAATGGGCAATTATTGTTACATACAGTGCATTACAGCTTCCTCCCATTGTAACACGGGAGTGGCAATTCCAGTGTTCTCATTTCTGATTTTTAGTCCCCACTCATGGGCAGTCTCAGCTCCTGAAGTGTAAAATGTGAGTATAACTCTTGTCACCACAATGTTTTTTAATTTAAATTTTGATTGGAACATTGTGATGTATTTCAAAGAAAATGTTCCTCCCTTCTGGAGGAAGCTAACTGGGAACTGCACCTTTGAGAGAACAGCTAACTAGATAGAACCTTGCCCACTTTCTCAGGCATTTTGCCCAATTTTAGTGGGTTTTCACTTATGTTTTGGACTACAGGGTTTGCCATATGTAAACGTTTACAACCAGGGCAACTTTATCCCTCCTTCAGAAAAAATTGCTTTCCCGCTTTCATTTACAGTTTGAATTGTTCATGAACTGGCAGTGAAAGATGGCCTGAGCTGGCACTGATGTGTAGGATTAATTTTGCAGGAAGTGTAAGGAAGTTTTCTGTGTAAGAGAAAATTCATAGTAAAACTGCAAGAACTAAATGTACTCACACTGCTATAATCAATATTTATGTTCTATTAAATATATTCGATGTTTCTCAGTGCAAAGTTTGTATTGCCTTTATCTATAGAAACTTGAAAGGAGGAGGACGGTAAAGTACTTACAGATTTTTGCAAGTTTGTATTGCTTGCTGTAGACTGGCTGATCATGCTGCAAGAACATTTGATTTGGAATCAGCCATGAAGTTTATTAAAGACTTTCCAGACTTGTGATTGTGAAACTTTCTTGAAGTTAGAACATTCTGCCTTAATACAAAAGTCAAGTTCTTAATGTACTGCACAGAAAACAAGTGGAAACAATGTCAGCAAATACGGTCCTCTGTGGATCGGATAATTACAAAATTAGCTCATTTAAATAAATGATTTTTTTTGTGCTTATTTAAATGTGATTTAAATCAGTCCACCCTATTCAAGCATAAGGGTCCCTCAGTCTCTCTTGTTAAAGCTGTTCCACTGTGGATAATGAAAGAGACATTGGATCAGAAGGACTGAATCCTACGTCTCCCACATCCTGGAAGAGTGCTGTAGAGTTTTTCTTACTGGAACTTGTGAGTGCTGCCAAGGTGACACTGTGTTTGGTATGTGCTATAGGCGCTACCTGGGTTTCTGTTTGTCTGGTTTTGTTATGTAACCGTTTGTATCTTTATTTTAGGGGCAGTGTTGGTTCTCCCTTTCTCTTGGGAAATGGGTGTGTGTGTGTGTGATTTCTCCAAAAGATCCACTACAGATGGGTTTAGGGGTTTGACCTGCAAGCATGGATGGTATTCAGTGGGTGCTTGCTGTAAAGTTCTTGATTGTGCTAATCTAAAATCTGCCTCTCAAATAAGTACACTTACTGTGAATCATTTGGTACAGAAGGGACTCTGACTTACGGAGTCTTTTGTTCAAGTTTTTTCCTTGTTTACTCCTGCTAATAAAAGTAATTTTTCCAGTGTCCCTTCTCCTTCACAATGAAACTCTAGTGTCTGCTCTCTCCCCTTCTGGGAAGGTAGTTTCTGCTATTAGGATGATTCCATTAGGCAGCAAGAACCCAGATGTGAGACGTATATTCCGGTGTCAGGCTTATGTGGTTCTACATAACTTTCAATGGTCCTTGAATTTGGCTTTAAAGTACTATAAGAACAGCCACACTGGGTCAGATCAATGGTCCATCTAACCCAAGGCTGCTCAACTGTGGAAACCCCGAGGGCCACAGTGATGGTCACAGCACAGGTTAAAGGCTGCAACTTAAGTGAGGTTGCATATACATGCAAATATATATGCAAATAGCTTCTTTCACACAATGCCCCGGCACTCCCGGCACCTCCTCCTGAGTGGGGGAGGGCTAGAAATGCCAACACTCTGTACCCGTCTGTTCCAGCCAGCCTGTCCGCTTGTGACTTTCATAGCTCACCCCACCTGGGAGATGCCTCGCCATTGTGGAGCATGTTCCCAGTGGAGGTCATGTTCAAAGGATCCCACCCACGGGCTGCGTGTTGAGCCCCCACATAAACTCAAGCCACACCACAGGCCGCAAATAAACAGGCCGTGGACCACATGAAGGCCACATGTTGAGTAGCCCTGATCTGACCCAGTATCCTGTTTGCTGACAGTGGCCAATGCCAGTTGCCCCAGAGAGAATAAACAGAACAGGTAATCATCATGTAATCCATCCCGTCCCCCATTCTCAGGTTCTCACAAAAGGGCTAAGACTCGAGATGCATGAGCGGCTGTTGATGGAGCTGTGTGCTGTGAGAATGAGGACTGCATTGTGTTGAGTGCAGTCTTCCCCTAGCATGGTGAATCCTTAAGCTTCCGATCCTTCATATAGGCTCCCTGCCTGGGGTTGTACTGCCTTGCCACCCTTGGGGAAAGGGATCTGCCAGCTGCTCCCGCTGAATCACCCTCCTTTGTGAATGAGAGAATGTTATAGTGTCTGATGTACAGAAGTGGCGTAGCCAGCAGAGCCCACTTGCGTGGGCCCCAACTTCATGTGGGTGGGCAGTGATGCGGGGCAGGTTTAATTCTCAGCGCCCTGACCCAGATTCCTGGCTGCAGCACTTGGCTAAGCAGGCTAGGGTAAGCCCTGGTGTCTTAACACTGCTCTTAGTCTACAGTGCTGGGTAGAGCAGGCCAGGTTAAGCCTCAGTGCCCTGACCCCACTCCCCAGCTGCAGTGCTGGGCTGAGTAGGCTGGGGTAAGCCCTGACACCACTCTGGTTGCAGTACTGGGTGGAACGGGGTCAGGGTAAGCGTTGGTGCCTGGCTCCAGTGTCTGGCTGAAGCAGAACCGCCCCGGCCAAGCTGCTCCTGGGATCCTCTTGTTTGCTCTACAGAGGGGGGACTGATGGGGGTGTCCCCAATCCTACCCCCTACCCCGGTACCCGGTTTCTGCTGAGCTGGGGTGGAGAGACAGGATTCTGTGCTGCTCTGGTCATGGGAGCTGCCTCTGCTGGACTGAGCAAGCCTTCAGTGCTATGCTTGCTGTCTGGATGCTCTCTCTTCAATGCTGTGCTCTCTCGAAGGCGTTGTCTTACTTATGAGGAGATCAGTGCTGTGGAAATCAATCTTCAAGGAGTTGATTTAGCAGATCTAGTAAGGACCCCTGTTGACTCTGGTACTCTACCAGATTGCAAGGAGTAAGGGAACTCGACAGGAGAATTTCTGTCATCAACCCCACACAATGGGGATACTGTGGTAAGTCGAACTAAGCCACGCTGAATCTTAGTTCGACATTGCTCCCTAGTGCAGACCTGGCTTCCCACTCCCCAAATACACACACGCTCATCCCCAACACACTTGTATTATTGTTGTGTTATTGCTTTTTGGTATTTCCTGTTGAAATATATATTAGGTATATATGCTGAATAATATATACCTAATATATGCTGAAATGTTCGAAGTCCCCTTGTGATGGGGTATACCAACCCCCCACTGAGCCGGGAGGAGTTAACCAGGCCTATATGGCCGCGAGACCCCACAGCCCTGTTGGGCATGCTCCAACTGGAGGACCAGTATAAAAACCAGGAGAGCAGCTCAGTCAGGGCTGACCACCACAGGGGAAGGAGCTGTGGCCAGAGCTCTGAAGCAGCAGGCGGACACCACAGCAGAGACCAGCTGGGGATGTGCCCAGCTCAGAGGACAAAGGTGGGGAAGATGCCGTCCATCCTGGACAGGGTAGGAAGTAGCTCAGGGTGGGGAATTGGAATCCCCAAGAGCTCAGTGAGCTAGTAGTGGGACATGCCCACTACTGACAGGGCCCTGGGGGGGAGGGAGACCTGGGACCCAGTGGAGAGGGAGGGCCCAGGTCTCCTTCCCCCCCAGGGGAACACTACACTTTGGCTACGGACTTGGCCACGGGGCCCTGTTGCCCTGCTGGCAGGAGCTGCAAGCGACTTGGCCATGGAGCCCTGTTGCCCCGCCAGCAGGGGCTGGTACTGGCCGGGTACAGTAACAATTTTGGGGTGGAGCAACCCAGCCTGGGCCTAAGAGGCTCTGCGCCCTGCCTTGTGGGGGAGAGAGGTGGTGACTTATTACCCCATGACAACCCTGCTTTAAGCTGAGCTGGGGAGTGCTGTAATTTCCCAGTCTACCCCGTTTGGCCTGTTGGGCTGGTTAATAATTAAATCAAGAATTCAGCAAGTTAAAAAGAGAGAACAAACAAGCTGTGGTTTCCCCTGCATCTCTCTCTCTCTCTCTCTCTCTCTCTCCATGTTCCAGCTCTTGCCGTGTCTCCAGTGATTAGCTTCTGCCATAGAACATCCCTGAATTTACATTGTGATTTTGCCCAAGTGGCAATGCAAGAGTGGCTCTGTTAAATTGACTAAGGGATAAAAGGGGCCTTGGAAAGGTGGTTAAGCACAGGAATAAATCACCAAAGGAGGTTGTAGAATTTCCATCACTTGAGATATTTAAGAGGTTAAAACAGACATATATCAGGCATGAAACAAAAAACAGGTCTATGTATCACTTTAAAGACTAACAAGATGGTTTATTATCATTAGCTCACAGACATTTACTCCCCCCCCCCCCCCCCCCCCCTTTTTTTTTTTTTAATTTTTTTTTTCTCTTTTTTTTTTATATGTGTTCATTTTTTTAATTGTATCCTTTGGTATATATGGTTGTGACAATTTTCTTCCACTATTTGATCTGAGGAAGTGGGTCTGGCCCACGAAAGCTCATCACCTAATAAACCATCTTGTTAGTCTTTAAAGTGCTCCATTGTTCTGTTTTTTGTTTTAACCTCTCTTTTGGTATTTTTAACTCTTGTGTGAGGAAGGGATGGAAAGTTATGGCAGGTGGATGGGAGGGTAGTTATACTTTGTGTGTGTGTGTGTGTGTGGGGGGGGGGGATTAATTAGCAATTCATTTATTATCTAGTGGGAGCTCCTTTGCTGTCCAAAGGATCAGAAGATCACAAGAGACTGAAATCACAAGACATGTTCTTAGATTTTAAGCAGTGAAAGGGCCAGGTCATCTAGTCTGACTTCCTGTATATCAGACTTTGTCCATTTACTGAGCTCAATATCTTACCTTAGACCAGTGGTTCCCAACCTTTTCCAGATGGGGACCCGTTTTGACAATTCAGGAAGGCTTGGTGACCTAAGGCAATTAAAAAATGGGGGGAGGTGGGAGAGCAAAGCCACCTGGGGAGACATTTGGTGACCCTTTTGAAATGTAATGGCGACCTATAGTTTGGGAAACCCTGGCTTAGACTAAAGTGTTTCAGGCTACAGATTTACTGCGATCACAGGTAGAGACCAGGAGAAACGAAGGTGCCACTGATGCTCCAGGTCCCGCCAGTGGCAGGGAATGAATTAGGTTGGATATACCCACCTAATCCATACCCTACACCCCAGAGGAATGTGAAATCTATTTAGAGAGCTCTGCAACTCCAGGGCTATTGTCGCGTACGGGATGCAGATATTCGGGAATCATTGGTGGGGGTTGCAAAACTGATGCAAACACAAATCGTGTAGCCGAGCACGGGGCTATAGACAAACCCAGCACAGGGATGATCCCTGAGCCGCTGCCAGAGGGAGGCCCCTGCAATCTACCTGCCGGGCACAACTGAACCCTGCACGGCCCGCAGTGGAACTGGGCTCCCGGGCGCGTTCCCCCAGCAGGGCCCCCTTGTCCCAGGCGCTGTCGGTCTGTGGCTGGGGGTCTCTTGGCGGGAGCCCCGCCCCCGGTACGAACAGCCCAGTGGCTGGTTCTCGCAG